CACAAAAATTGGCTGAATTTTGAAATTTATGAAATCCTAAATGATGAGGTTGAATCTGTTGAGTGAAGGAATAAATATATTTATAACACATCTTATTAATAGAATTAGTAAACAATTGCATGGAAAATAGTTAAAATAGTTTTCTACAGTAACTTATGTCAATTCTGCTAGAAAACTAACTCAACCTTACCTTTGATTACTTTTGACTAATAAGATTCATTAGCTGAAAATAAGGATTGCCAAACAAGCTCTAAAGGCGTCTCTAGTCTTGCGTTTTTCAATTTTTTTTAATCTCGAACTATATCACATATGTCAAGTTTTTGAATAAACTGTACCCGGAGTAGTGTTATTTAAGGGTGCAAAAAAAGCCAAGACAAATGTAAAAAAAATTAGAAGCCCATTTGGCGATTTTGAATTTGGCGAATTTGAATTTGGCGTATCTAAAATCGGTAAAAAGTTAACTGACAAAATTGTCTAAAAATCAGAATTATGAAAGAATTATATTTAAAATTTAGTATATTATAAAATATAAAAATAACTAAAAATGTCTTTTTCGACAAATTCAGTAAAAAAAACAGTAGCAACAACCTTACTTATTTTGAATATTGCATAATTCAGCGTGCGAAATCAAAACTATGTGTTCTATAAATGAATTGGCTAATATATATAAGATTGATAAACAAGAAATAGCCAAATAGGGTTATCAAACGAGCTGTTATACAAATGTTTTGTAGGCATCATAAAAATGTTTTAGAAAAGTTAGGGAGAACAATACAAAGACTTGTTTCAGTTTTAAAAGTCCATCCTCATAATGGCTTGAGCTTAGCTGATTATAATACTTTATTAAGACTTGAAACTCAATTTAAGACGTCAATCTGATAGAAGTATTAGTTGAATGATTTACATATTGATTTGTATTTTTTTTGAAGCCATATTGATTTGTATTTTTCTACATAGCTTCTGATTTAGGATTTATATGTTATTTTGTACTTTTATATTTTTATACGTAGCTTATACGAAGTATGACTTAATTAACAAGTTGAAGCCCACATGATCCCCTCTACTCATGATATACTCTTTTTTACTCATAAAGTTGTACTCCGGTGGAATGCCGAGTGTTTTGGTTCAAAGAAAAAACAGTAGTATTTTTCATTTTTACTGCGGTGGAATGCCGAGACTGTTGCAAATTTTGTATTTTCCTTTGGGCAGGTCTCGTTTACTAAACGAGTTGAAACTTTTGCATCATCCTCTTAGCTTACATCAGGTGTAATCAGGGAAGGGGGTGAAGGGGTGGCCAACCGGGTCCCGGCCCAGCCCAAATTTTAAATTTGCTTTTATTTTTAATGTAAAAATTTATGTGTAAAATTTATCTGTAAAAATTCTTTGTACCGGCTTAGTCCAACTCTTACTTCTGGCTACACCCCTGAGTGTAATGACTCATATATTGTTATAAGTATATGTAAATAAAATAAGCATTTTATTTATTGATTAAATAATATTTTACTATGTAGTTAATTTTGTCCTTCAATAGAATGAGTAGATAAATGAGATATCGTATATTGACTAAAGAATACTACTACTACTCGTCTACTCCTTTTCTATAATTGCACATTGTATACTCCAAATGGGATGTTTGGAGTTGGTTGAATTCCATACACCAAATGGGATGCTTGAATTGCATACTACTCCTCCTTTTCCGGAAACCAATTTCGTTCTAGAGTACCTACCCATACACCAAATCACACAAATACGTGCACCTATCCGCTTTCAATTTCCCATACTTTGCCTAGCAGAAAGTGATACCTAAACTGGTTATATTGTACTCCTTTAACTGGGTACTTTTTTTATTCCCCTCATGTGAAGTTGTGAACTGGCCATAAAGGAAATGTAATACCTAAGAGCACTAAACTTGTCCTTGTTTTTGGACTTATGAGCCTTATTATCAGCTAACTTTTAATCAAACCCATAATTTTTTATTTCACGTACTGAGTTGTGTGATAATCAAAATAAGTATGGTTGAAGTTACTTTTCTTGCTGGATTGTCTGAAGTTACTATAGAGGATCATTTTGACTATTTTTTTATATAAATTTTCCTTTATGTTACTAATAAAATATATATCTTTTTTTAATGATTCAGCAGAATTAGTCAATCCAGTCACTTCAGTCACGATTTCATAAATTTCATCAGAATCACCTGTTTCAGACAATTTCAGTGTTACCAAACGAGCTCTAAATCATTTAACATGTGTGTGTGTCATTAATTGATTCAATTTCCCTAACTGTCTAAGAGATTGATCAGTCACTCATACAAATTGTGGACCAGGGTTTATAATACTCATGTTCTTTAAAAGTTTGTCAAGTTTGACTGACATGTAGAATAATAAAGTAAAATTGTCTGGTAGACATTTTTGCAGAGAAGAAAGAAATAACGTGAATCACTAATTGATTGATTAAAATGAAAAGTTGCAAAGTTTTTTATACAATCGAAAAAAGAAAGTTAATAACGTTATAAGGAACTGATGTATTCATTAATTAAGTTGCTGTTTGAGTGTTTGGCAGTCTCAAGTTTTTGTTACACACTTGCTAAAAAAGAAATTTGTAGGCTCCGCGCACCTAATTAGTTAATAATCACACAAATTTTGCAAGTCCCAAGCCATCCCTCACAAAAACAAATATATAAAACGTTGATTTAACCGAATCAAATATCGTAGCAAGTACAAACTAGTTTGATTTATTTTCTCATAGTATCCTTCGTTTCATTAGAAGATAAAATCTATTTTAAATGTTAATTTGTAGGACAGACCATATTCAACTAGTCCAACTACTTTGAGACGCAATTTCAAAATATTAACAAATGGAGTATTATATTTTAGTCAATACAGTACTCCAATGAAATAAATTGGACACGTAAAATGATAAATATGAAGCTGCTAGGCTATAAAATACGGAGTACATCCAACTCGCCGGGGGCGTAGCTCATCTCATAGGAAGGGAATGCCACAAGGAAGAGGTCCCAAGTTCAGCTCCAAACAATGACTTGGGATGGAGCCCCACTCTCTTTCCATTACAGTGAGATCAAAGCTCAATTTACATCCTCCCAACTAGCTGTCCGGTCAGTACTGGGGGACTCAGGGATGAGGTGTCATCCTTTTTTTACGGAGTACATCCAACTTCTTTATGTAAATACCAAGCACCAACTTCTTTATGTAAATACCAAGTACCAACTTCTTTATGTAAATACCAACTGACCCAAAAAGTCATTTATTTGTGACTTTGTCATATCACATTTTATTTTGTAAGCTACTATCCTTCAACTTATTTATTGGGCTAAATCTATAATGCTTAAGCATGCATGGAACACACATTTATTTGTGAGTGTTATATGGGTTTTCTAATATGTATTTCAGCCCAGTTCTTAGCTCCTCAAACATTACTAGACATAAGACATCCAGAGGATCTACGTTATGGTAAATTAAAGTCTATAGTAAATTAAAGCCTATGGTAATGTAATTATTTTTTTCAAATCTTTAGTTATTTTTTTTCATTTTTCATATTTACTCGTCTCGCTAATGTTGATACTTAGTATAATTACTCTTTAGCCTAACCTAATCCAAATTCTTGGATCCACCCTAACCGAGCAACTCAAGGTTAATTGTGTGTCCCTTGCACACAGTCACCAACACAACCGAAAGAAGCAAAGCGAAAAACTTAAGCAAAGGAAGAAGAGCCCAATAATCGAAATAAAATAATGTTTCTCGGTTCCATAATTAAATTCTCACTTTTCTTTTTGAAATGTTATACAATCAAGTTCCTATTTCTCTTTTTGGTGTTGTTTTACCCCTATGAAAACTACGTCATTAGTTATTAATTTTCTCTATTATTCGCTTTGGTGTTCTTTAATCTTTGTTGAGGATCGATTCCGTCGCCGGATTCCGGCTCAGGCAGTCCGGTGCTCGGTTTCCAGTTGTCTCTTGTGCACACCTAGGCTAAGGGAGCAACACACCACTCTAACCTCGCCAACACTCACACTAACCTCACCAAGAAGGACTCTCACCTCACCAAGAAGGACTATGGCTTCACAAACACCCTCACTCACCAAGAAGAAATGAAGGAGGAAACTCTCTGTGTGTTTCACTCGCAGAACAAAGGGACAGGGAGTGCCCTTATAACAGGGAAGCATTTGGCTTTATTAGAATGGCTCACAAGGGCACTCAAATAATACACTACACACACAACTCATCACTAGCTCAATAATGAGCTGTAGGGGTGGACTCGGGCCGGGCGGCCCGACCCGGAACCGGCCCGGTTACTGTTTGGCCCGGCCCGTGGCCCGGTGGGTCCAGCGGTTCGGTTTGGCCCGCACCGGGTGATGGGCGGTCCGGGCTCGGGCCCTGCTTTAGGCGAACCGGCCCGGCCGGTTCGGGCCCGGTCCGGGCCGGATTTTAATTTTTTTTTTTGAATTTTTTTTAAGTTTTGGGTTGGATTAGGTATTTTGGGCCATTTGAGGTGGTTTGGGGTGGTTTGGGGTTGAGGGGGAGGGGTAGGGGGTTAAATAGGAGAACCAAAAAAAAAAATAAGGGCCGGTTTGGCCCGGCCCGGTCCGGTTTGGCCCGGAACCGGCCACCGGCGGTTTGGGCTCGGGCCCCAATTTTCTGGCCCAAGTCCAGCCATAGTGAGCTGAATTCAAATTCTAACGGGAGAGGCAATATTGATAGGCCAGATAGATAAATGGGTACAGTGTAATGGGTTGCTAGAAAGTGTGTTGACCATTATTAATATACAAAAAACGTTTGGGCCAACAATATATTAACAATCTTCAAACATGTTTTCCTTGGGTTGCAGAAGATATTGACATTTGGTGAGACCTCAATTTCACGATTTTAGCCCAAAGTGGGTCATGAATGATAAAAATACATTTATTATTAGGACCAAATATGTATGAGAATTCATTTGGAACCTGTATAATCAATGACCAAATTGAGTAATATAATGATGTAACGCTGAGGAATAGACCGGGTATTATAATATCTTACGGAGTACTTTAATGAAACCTCAAGTGTCTGTTATATAGTGAACCTAATTAGGAATTGGCAACCCAGCTCCAATCCAGACGTCCAGTCCCTTGCCAAAACCGGCCATTCTTGGTCTGGTTCTGAAACTTGGTCCACTCTAAAACCTAATACTACGTATTACCTTACATGATTAATGTTCCAAAATAGTGAAATCCAATTTTAACATCAATAGCTTCGTAGGCAAAACCATGCAAGGATTACTGAAGTTAGAAACAAAGGTCACATTTTGTTTTATTGGCATTAGACCAATCCAATGTGTATATGTATCTACAACTTCATATAGTATGTAGTCAATGTAACACAATATATGCAGATGATGTCTATCTGTGTCTCATCTCTACCTTCTCTTCCTCTTTCGCCCCAGCACTTTCGCCCGTACAAAAAAAGCACACAATAATTTCGTCATGCCCGCATCGTATTTGAATTGTTGCATTTTATGACCTGCAATTTAACAATTAAAAGATCAAGACATGATAATCATTTTATTCTACACCAAGACAGGTTTTAGTCCAAGGAAAATATGTTCACTTACCAATTATACCACTCTTGAAGTATGAAGTCCTAAGAAATGTCAGCCAGCTGCTTAATGAAGTGGTGAAGCTTAACTCCAAAGCCATTTTGCGGTCAAAGCACAGAGCTATTATCATATGGCACTTCATTTTGAGCACCCTTAAGGAAGTAGCTCAAGAAAAGAGCCTTTCCATCCACCCTTTTTTAGACTTCGAAAAAGATTCTCGGTATCTTAAAAAAGCACACACCATGTCAAAACAGATTTACTTATATAAACAAGAATAATCATAAGAAAAAATGCAAAAAAGAACTCCAATGTAAATAAATAATTCATACTTCATCGACATTGACGCAAATCGAGAACTCAAAGTGTCTGAGAATTTCTGGAAATCAGGAGCTGCCCTCTCTTGATTTGTCATGGAAGACTTGCCAGAAGAGCTTATGTATACATATATATAATATATACAGAAATTAGAGGGAACAACTACTTAAGTATGGGTCAAGGTACCTTAGCGGACCCTCTATTCTATCAGTTTGTTCAATTTAATCCCTTTAATTATGTTCAACTTAGTCCCTGCACCATATTTCATTATAATTAAGGACAACTATTCACAGAGTTAATTATCTTCATTACTTTTTATGATTTGGCAGTGATCACTAACAACACACTGATTTGACATTTCTACATTGTTAAACAACTTGTGATTTACTTAAAATTAACTTATATGTTCCTTATGGTATGGTGCCATGGCACGATACATGCCACAGTCACATGATCAGAGTGATTTAAAAAACTAAGACTAGCAGATACTCCGTATAACTAATGGTGTTTATGATTGTTCTTGATGATTACACTGAAGTACTAAACTATATAATGCAGGAACTAAATTGAAGACAATTAAAGTAGGTGGATCACATTGAGCAAAGTGATCTAGTAGAGGGATCTTTCAAGTGGTTGACATAAAATATGCCACATCCAATTTAACAAAAGCTTAAGTTGCCACTACCTACTCCCAACAGAGATTTCTGGATAACTGTTTAGCATGTTGACAGATGCAGATGATGAACCAACAACTGGATTTGTAGATCCCTCCCTCCTTTGATTGCGGTGAGTTCTTCCCATTGCAGCAGCGGCAGCCAAACGGTGGATGACGCGCTCTTCAAGTTCACTATTACTTATGCCCACCGCAAACTGTATTACAATAACAAAGAAAAGCGAGGGAGCATTAAGCATTCAAGCTTGGAAGATTAATTATCATATCATGGGGATGTAAAGAATATTCAATTCAATTAAGAGGGGTAGCTTACATGTGGGAATTCAATATTTCCCTGAGCAGGGTGGTAAACTATTGATGCAGTCCTTGGAGGATTAGAATTTATATTCCTTTCATGTTCCACAGCCTCGAGTAAGTCTTGGCTGTTGTACGGCATAAAGCAGAAAGTAAATACTTTGGGATAAAAGGCGTAAATGAGGAACAATGTTTCAAAATTATGAAAACTAAAGCATGAAGAGAACCAGTGAAGAACCTTTCTGAATCTTCCATTTTAATTGTTTGCCAGCACATTGGGCAATTAGAACTCCTTTGACACCTATTTGGAAAAGGAATGCAATCGTTAGAACTCCTGATACATTTTCTACTAGGCTTAAATACATTTTGAGTCCTGGCACCCTTCAAATCAGTGTATTTTTTTTAGGTTACTTCAACTCTTTTCATTCTTGTAGTTCATGTTTCACTTCTTTTTAGTCCCTCCCCGACCCTATCAACTTCAGTTTGACACCGCAAAAAGACATTCCTAACAAGTTTCGGGTATTTTTTCTTAAAGTCATTGCAATAATACTTTAGATTTTATTTTCAAAAAGCCCCTGAAACCTACACTAAAGACATGAAAGATTAATTTCATTAGTTTTATATTCATTAATAGTCCCCAAAAAATTATACAAGGCGGAAGCAAAAACTTTATAGTAAAGTTCTGTAAGTGTAATTATATTTTTTATAGAAAGATTGCCTTGGAGTTAGAGGACTAAAAAGAATATAGCATATATTGCAGGATGAAAAAAAAACTGAAGAGATGTAAAACGGAGAATTCTATATTTATGAGGTGCTAAAACATATTTGAGCCTTTCACGTGAGCCAAGAAGCGAATTCATTTAGATACCCCCTCTTTCCCATTGTCCCACCTTTCCTTTTCGGTCCGTCCCAAGATTGTCCCATATCAAATTTAGTAAAGCTCATGTGGTTCTAAATCATTCTTACTTCATCAATTCAATATCAACCACATAAACCCACGTTTCTTAATAACCGCATCACCTTCTCATGTCCCAAAGTTAGAAGGACGGAGATTGTAATACTGAAATACATGACAAGATTTACCCATTTAATAAGACAACTTTACTATTTTCTCCAGATCTTCATGTGGTTACTGGTTAGAGATTTCAATGGACTATTCAAGCACAACCTTTTCCACCATCCATCATGTATCAGTTATTTCGGCAGTGATTCTTTTTCCATCATTAAATTTCATAAAAGTTCATGATGTAGCAAACGAGTCACTACCGAAATACAATGTTTGCACTCTGATGAGCATCATAGTAAGCATTGTTCTAAAAAACGCTCTAGTACATGTTTGTAGAATAAGAGATATATGTACCGAGGGCGTCTAGATGGATTGAACAGTTTTGTGCCTTTTATTTTATTTTATTGTATTTTCTAAGAGATATATTTACCTTAAACTTTAACCAGAATATGAAGATAACTATTTGTATATTAAAATAAAAACTATACTTCGTATATGTTGATATATATTCTTAAATTTTATTATTGTTTAATATTTATCACATAATGAAGTTCAGTGATTGGTAATAATGTACTAGTATTATTAAAGTATGATGAATCAATCATTCATGCATGTTTGTGTGTGTATAAACACACAAACACAATAGTACTTATCATATTTATACAAAAATATTAACGAAAATAAAATTTCTAAGTTCCCGACTAGTCTCCGCCTAGGCGTAACTGCGTAAGGCAATGGGTTGGCGCCCGACTAGCACCTAGCGCATTGAGAACATTGATGGTAAGTGCCTAAGTGAGCATCGGGCAAATGTTCCAATACAGAAAGTCAGAAACTATAAGACCTATAAATCCAATGCTTCTTCATTTTCATATTGATGAAGATAATATATATAGTGGCATCCATGCAACCCAAATTCACAAAGTTCAAATTTTAGTACGTTTAAATTAGAATAGGGAAATGCATACTCCTTGAAAACACATGGCCCATAAAGCTTAATTCATTGAATTTTGATTGACGGTGCTGCTTTTCATGGAAACAGGGCTTGATGAAATAATGCTATAAAAAATTAAACTTTTAATGTGCTGCAAATACTGATCCTCTAGGTGCAAGTGAATGACAACAAAATCCGACTCATCTGATTCACTGCTGGATAAAGAGGTTGTTGCAGAACTTAATATCAGTCTTAAACTCTTAATAAAAGATAAGAAAAAAACAGAAAACACTCCCAAAACTACTCCAACACACACATAAAATACAATAAAAAACACAGCATCATCTTATTCCTCAACTTGATATTGTTAACTGTTAAGACATTACGCCCACCATTCCAAAGATCCAGAATAGTTATCTCGAGTGACTTCATATGGCTTGAAATGCCATAAGCTGGAAAAGTAAAGGTACATACCATTCCAGAATGCACTGAAGATGAAAGCCGTGCTTGCAATGAGTAGCCTACAAAGAACATAAATTATACGGACTTTAAAGTATATATGCTTTTAAGAACTGGATGATCATGTAGAGAGGAATATAAACCAGCACAGACATAGAACTTTTATAGCTCAATGCAATACAAAATGTGATTAATGGGAATAGTGTTTACTGTTGATGGATCACTCTCAGAGAAAGTCTCAAGGCAAATGCTGCAAGAATCATCACTTGAGTCCTGAATTCCTCCTTCCACAAACGCTAATGCAGATGTTGCTTGACTTTCTCTCTTCGTGACCTCTTTCATTCTTAGAACCTTGTGAAAACAAAGACCCAAACATAGCTCATTTGTCATGAAGTGCTTTTTATGTATTTATTTATTTATTTAAGATTATGAAGACTGAAGAGCAACAATAGAATGTATAAAAAGGCATTTCTGCTACAGTATACTACTATATCATTCATCTAGCTAATGATGGGGATGAAATATTATCACATACGGAGTATTCCTAAAATAAATAAATTGGCAATTTAACTAATAAATTTCTCCCCTCTTCAAAAACTTGAATTGCATTACCTTCAAGAAGAATTTTCCTCATATCGTTTTTTTGCAAAAAAAAACAAAGCATATAATGATATAAAATGAGAGGAGGCCTCAAGATCATCAAAAGCTCAACCTTTTGAGATTCAATCAATTCACATCGTGATAACAAATCGCCATGAAAATTCAATACAAGCAATGGAAATCAAAATGTGGTTCACCGCATTACATATATTTCTTTGCCAACAGTTAATTTACCTGGATTTAAAGTTAGGGAAATGTCCTAATTAGGAGAAAATAATAAAATTCAGAGTTCCTCTCCACAGGCAAAAATCAAATTTGAATAAACGTTCTATAAGGCCGGCAGCGGAACCCCAAGAACGTATCGAGAGAGGAACTCCAGGGCGATAATGCAAAATGCTTGTTCAGCTCTGCGGAAGAAAAAATGCTTTAAATGCCCCACTAGGCGACTATCTAGTTTTTTTTAGTTTTTTTGACAGTATCTAGTTTTTTTAGTTAAAAAATGTTAGGAAAAATTGAAAATAATAATAATAATAACCCCAACTATTTTCTTTCTTTGATCATCAAAACAAGTCTCTATTCATATCAAAAGATTCAGAATCATTACATCAAGCAAAAGAAAAATAAACTAACACCCACTGAAACTACAACAACTATGAGTCTATGACTATAACCCTATGATGAGACTTTGAGATGGTCACACATGACAGAGCAACACGAATCGCTAACCATGTAGTGGGCTTCACACAACCAAACATGTTCCCATAGATCCAACCATACCCAATGACATAAAGAGAGGCAGAAAACTCAAACAAACTGCCAAAACCAAAAACAAAAATGGACACAAGAAAACAAATTACAAACAGATAAAAATTACCGGGAAAACATTCACGAACTCTAACACCTCATAGATCCCATGGTGGTGGTTCAGGAGGAGGTCGAAGCAACAGTATCATGCTAAAAGACCATGCATCAATCATCCGTCCCTGCATAACCAAACTCATCTCTGCTCCGTACAACCATAGTAAACTGATAGGCGGCGCCGATCTCCTCCAACGACAACAGCAACGCCACATCCTCAAATCATGACCGCAACGCCGTTCTCCTCGAGCCATGACAGCAAATCCGCCCTCCTCCACCGATCTCCACCCTCCGCGCCTGACCTGGACTCCAACCGAACACCAGCGACACAAGGGAAGTATAGATGATCTTCGACAAAGCCGAAATCGGAAAAAGCTCCAGCGGCCGACAAAGTCGTAGCCCTAGAGAGAAAACCCAACTCCAGGGGAGCTTAGCCAAAACACGGACCACGGTCAAATAGCCGAACAAAGATGACCGATCTTCGATCAATATGATCGAAATCAGAAAATTAACCTAGAGGCGGCTTGCCCTAGGAGCTCTCCACGATCTTTTTCCAGCACACATCCTCGTGTTAGATTAAAACCTAATAATAATCCCAACTATTGAAAATTGAAAATAATAATCCCAACTATTGTGGATCTGCCCTTAATAATCTCAACTATCAATTATTACTAGTCCCAATTATAAGGACTATTTTTCAAAAATAGTGCCTAACCTATTACAACCTGATATAGCAGGTCATTTTGAAACGTGAATTATGTATAAGCTTTAAATAATCCCAATTGAAACGTGAATTATGTGGATCTGCCGTTTTTTATTGTTCCCAATTATCAACTCTCAATTTTTTGAAGATTTAAAAATAGTTTTATAAATATTCAAACTAAATATTTTTAAACATGTATAAACAACTACAAAAGTCATACAAATGTAACGAAGTTAAATAAAATATTTTTAGTCATTTTTTGATTTATTTTCACTAGCTTTTTTCCGTTTTTCCAATTTGTTTTTCCCAGCTGTGTTTTCAATTTATGATTTTGTATTATTTTCCTTTATTCAAATTACATTTTCTGTTTTCAAAAAGTAAATATAATGATTAAATTTTTATTTATTTTTTTGTGGTATCTTAATTCTAAAAATTCTAAATGTTCTATTTTTCCATTTTAGTATTTCTAGTTTCTTTATATTTTCTTTATGTTATATTATTATATTTTATAAATTATAGTATATAGTTTATCATTTAAATTTAGTGATTCAGGGTATAGGTTTTGGAGGTTTTGAGTAATTTTAATGAAAATGTATTAATATTATAATTTTAAGCGATATATTGAAATTGTAAAAACGTCCAATTTCCTGACTGGAGTCCCGTCCGGCCTCCTCCATTTGGGGGCCTTCCCAGTGTTATTTTTTGCTCAAATTTTTTGTGTAGGTTCCTCATCAAGTCTAGTTCATCCATACCAAAGTTCAGCCAAAAATTCAATCGGGAAGGTCGTCAAATGATTTTTGCAAGTTAACTGGTCCGGAATACACACAATCATTTGACGACCTTCCCGATTGAATTTTTGGCTGAACTTTGGTATGGATGAACTAGACTTGATGAGGAGGAACCTACACAAAAAATTTAAGCAAAAAATAACACTGGGAAGGCCCCCAAATGGAGGAGGCCGGACGGGGGGAGTGGTCTGGCCTGGCTGGACCTGAATATTTGTCTATATATATATATAGGGTAAGGTTCAAGTGAGAAGAACCCTTTGGGTGAGAAATGAGAATGAATCTCAGTCATTGGATTCGACTAAGTTGCAGTAAAAGACACTTCATTATGCACTGAAATATGCAATCTAGCACGGTGGCATTTCTGTAAATACTTCTGAAAATTCCGTATTACACGTGTCTAGTGCAACATGAAGCTATTTCGGTGCAACGCCGTCAAATATTAGTGCAACATGAAACAGTTTTAGTGCGACATGTGCAAAATTTAAATATTACTGCAACATAAAGCCAATTTTAGTGCAACTTCGTAAATCCAATGGCTGAGAATCATTCCCATTTCTCACATTAGATGCATTTCTCACCTGAACCAAAATATATATATATATATATAGAAGTTATGAGATGAAATTTACCAACAATTGTGTGTAAGCTTTCTAAAGAATTGTCAATGGTTCTATTATAAATCTGCCGCAAAAAACTTTGGAAATTTCTCACCATAACTTATTTTGATTTTTTATGTCGACTGTGCAATCACTCTTTTGTCGTGAGCTTCTTTTCTCTTATAATAATATAAGTCACAATGAGTAGCGTTTGCATGGTTAAAGTGTCATGCACTTATTTAGAAAAAAAAATTAAAATCAGGATACATAGATTTGTCTAAGAAATCATCGAACGTTTAATAACCTTTTACTCTTATGTTGCGACGGTGAGACGGTCAATTAAATGACCTTGCATATTGATACATTTCTATTAGTGTTGCCATAAGTAGTGAGTGAATCAAGAATTTTATTATTATGGAATGAAATGTGAGGGAAGATGATTAGGGGAAGATTCTAAGTGATTAGTTACATTTCTACGAATAAGCCAAAAAAGAGATATCTTAAACATAAATTTAGATAAATGTTATCATACCGTACTCCTTTCAACCACTTAATATCATTTTTGTCACATATGACGTGCTAGATCCTTTTGTATTAAATTAATTTATCGATTTCATATACATTATAAATCAATGTGATTTGATATGGTAAAAAAGCGCAGAGGAATAGTATATTGATGCTCCTCAATGGCTCAATATAAAACACATCATTGTATCAATATGAATTATACCAACAAAACAATCAAAACATTGTAAATGCATGTAATAATATGATAGCAACGAAAAAACAAAACATACATGATACATCAGAGTTGGGACTGAACAAGTTTTCAATAATTAAGTCTAAAATAAATAGAATAATTACTAGAGAGTAAGAACATGTGCATTCAACCTAAACTACGTACGTATGACTCATTACTTGCTCATCAGTTTTCATATTACATCAGATACAATTACAATTAATACCCTTCGAGCATATTCATTGAATAGCCCAATGATTATTCCTCCATACGAAACACTATCAATTGAATGCATTGCGCACGAGCTTTCTATCCGGATTCCTCGGATGAAAAGTGAAAGTCCTACAATATATATGACCCTGTACGTGCATAGGTATAAATATATGAGGCAATGCAAAAAAATCATAATATGGATGGGATGTTAGATTATGTGACCAAAGACCGAAAATGTGTTTGTGTGTGCGTGAACACGCATGTGTAGTACATAACATTAGCTCTTTGTACACTTATTCATGTAACTAAAATTTGCATGTACTACTAACTTAGGATATTTCTCTATACCACATTGTGCATGTACGCACATAGTGTAAATGTATAACATTTTGTTGCTACAAGAGGTGAGATCTAGCCTCATGAATTTGACATGCATGAGTTCTATATATAATGACTTATCTTGGCCTTTTAGATAGTTGAAATAATAATAATAATAATAATAATAATAATTACTACTACTATTATTACTATTATTATTATTATTATTATTATTATTATTATTATTATTATTATTATTATTATTATTATTATTATTATTATTATTATTATTATTATTATTATTATTATTATTATTATTATTATTATTATTATTATTATTATTATTATTATTATTATTATTATTATTATTATTATTATTACTATTCATACAGGATCCTCATCGTCAAATGTCTACATATTACCATAGGCTCTCATCATCCTATCCCCATATTCGGACCGGCTCCAATCCTCATGCGTCGAATGTCTTGATCTAGCGACTGAGCTCACTACTCCCTTCCCGGATGGCGACCATCGCAGATATCTTACGGTCAATAGATGAAAAGCCAAGGATCCCATTGACCCCTCAGCTATACACTTCCTAGTCATCTTTGTTTGATGACATGGAGTTCGTACAGGCCTCCCTCTTATATCTCTTGGTCACCCTTACCGGATGACGGAGACATCATATTATGGACGGTGAATTGACCTATCTCACATATCATGGTGAGCTACTCACCGCATCCTCCTAAATGCATTAGACGATCATTGCTCATACATGATCATTAAAGTTGCACGCAGTGGCCGAAGGGCTCATCCTTTCTGCTCCATTTTTGGGGCATCCAGTGTACTTTTTTTTCCTCTTTAGGAGTTTTGCCACATGGTTTTTTCTTAGTGAGAGTTTTTAACGAGGCATCTCTCCACTGTAGACAAAGGGTGTCGGCCCTCGACCCCAATAGGAGTCATCACGAGACATGCACTGCTCCACTCCTTTTCACACCACTACACTTGCCTCAAGGAGTGGGGGGACTGGGAGAACAAGGGACTTAGCGCCTCCGTAAGTAGAAGAAATACACATTCAAATTTATATAAAGATTGCCACATGCACTAACTATACCATCACATCATATGCAAACTCAGTTGCCACAATAGCGAGTATATACACATAGCCCCCTGACCCTCCGACTGAACGTGATAGTATTTGGCCTACAACC